TGTTTTGGGTGATGTTTGAGTCTTTTGGTTTGTTTTAGTGTTTTAAAGTTTAGTTTTACATTCTTTGAGTCTAGTTTAGTGTTTTATATTGTGTTTTTACGTTTGAATCAAGCCATAATCTTAAATTCGTCCAACATTGGGTTTAAGGTCAGAAACTGCCTAGTTAGTGTTTTTAGGCAGTTTTGAGTCTTTTGAACTTGTTTTGAGTCCTTTGAGTCTTTGTGAACGTTTTTAACTTTGTTTTTACGTTTTTGAGTCAAATCCAAGTGATTAACAATCCCTCCTAATCCCCGGTCCAGAACGATCCCTACTTACATACTTACTACAATCGATAAAAAGAGGGTTTAATTTATGCGCGTATAAATCTCGCATCATCCACATCAATTAGATATAGTAATAACCAAGACCAACTGACACACCCCGACTGAGATCAGGGCGTGCTGGCCACCACGCAGAGGTGACGTAACCATGTGTACGTGCGGAAGCTAGTAAAATAGTGAGAAAAAGTACGAATCATTAAAAACTAGCATACAAAGTGATAAAAACCAGTGCTAGCGTAAGTGAGACGCTAAGTTCAGAGCAATCAGTCTACAGCAGTCCAAAAGAAAAAGATGCGACAACAGTACACCCGAAGGTGACCCTACAATGGTGAGTGTCTGTCAGAAATGCCGGAAAAGCCCTCTGGGAAACCACCGAACCTGCTAGACCACTAGAACCTGGAGGGGCGCAAAACAAAAGCGTGAGTGGGCAAAAACAAAGCTTTTAGAAAACCATTTAATCAAATACATTCTAACCCCTCGCCGTAAAACCTGTATACTTCCCAGAAAATAGATATACGTATAGTATTTATGCCAAACATGCTCAATAATATGCCATGTCGAAACCTCATAATGATATGCAAGTGCTCAGGTATAATCATATCAATAACATGTAATCTGGCAGCCGGAGTCACCTAACGTGACCTATACGGCTGCATCTAGAGCTCAAATCTCAAACTCAATAACTGAACCTGCCCACGAGTCGGAACCACCTAAGGTGGTCTGTACGACAGGCCTGGGTATAATACATATGTATACGCTCTAGTGCTACGATCACGTGAAGGCTGGGCGAATATTCGCGGGTCACCTACGAGTCGGAACCACCTAAAGTGGTCTGTACGACAGGACTGTGCACCTAACTTGGATCCAAGCTGAGCGTGTGGTGCGGGAGGTGAACATCACGTGAAGGACTGTGCCCTACTCTGGGCAGGAGCACTAACACCGGGGGTGCAGGTTATGAGCTCTCTAAGTATCTCGAATCGCTACTGAATGTAAACATGAATAACACTTACCTGGCACTTACCTGTGCATCCACAGCACCCAATATGCATATGTATATATATATGCAACTACTAACGTAACCAACGATGCATAAATAACGATAATGTAATGCATGACATAACTAATAAGCATTTAAATCAATTTCTGGGAAAAATATAGTATATAGGTATATACGGAAAACCAAAAGCCCACTCACTGGTAAGTGGAAGGGTCGTAGCCCCCCTGCCTCGAGTGACCACGCTCGTCCTCGGGATACGTATCACCTATATGCGAAATAACTATAAAAACGTTAATTTTAAAGCACATAACCAACTTCTCGTAATAACTTCTCATACATTGCTCAAATTGGAGAAATGAATATACCAACATGCTCTACACAACCTCAGGATCACACCCAAATTTTTAGAAAAATTTTCCACCGCCGCACGCGCCGGCCAAGGCACGGCCACACGCGCCAGCCACGCGCAGGCACGTGCCTGGCACGCTGACGGCGTCAACTGACGCCGTAAGGAATATTCCGTCAGTTTTGACAGATTCCGTTAACGGCGTCAGGAATATTCCGTCAGACTTGACGGAATATTCCGTCTCCTTCTCCGGTGAACCTCCGGCGTCGTCGCCGGCGCCGGAAAACTGGAAAAACTTCAACCTTCGATTTCTCTCTCGTTTTTCAACCATTTTTCACGATTTTTGTACCAAAATGATGCCTAGAACTAGGAGAACATAAATATACAATTTTCAAGAGTAAAAAATTACGAGATCTTACCTGTCCAAACCACCCAACTCCGGTCAACTCCAAACACAGTGATTCCGACGTCAAAATTCTTCAAACGAAGTACTCCGAGACTCCTTGGGACCTCACTAAGTCACCTACGAGCTTCAAAATCCCAAAAACTTGCTAAATTATTTTTGCATGAATAGTACTCAAAACGGACATCGTCGAATCGACGTGAAAACGACGGAGTTCTCACCTGAAAATGGTACGACTGGACTCCCACGAGCTTCACGATCTCGACTGTGACCTTGGTTTCCTCGATCTATAGAGGTTTGAGGGGTTTTGGGTTTGTCCGTACGTTTTCAAAGAGAAAGGGAAGGAATGGAGCTCGGGAGAGGGACAGGGGAAAAGACACAGGGTGAGGGAAAGTGACAGTGTGTGTGTGGCCCAACACATGCCAACACCACACAAAACAACCAATAACGTGAAAGAAACGAACTAGGGGTAAAAATGTCTTTTCACACAAGTGAGTTTTCGATAATTTCGGGACGGGATGTTACACCGACATCATGAAACTGAAGAAGGTTGAGTTATGAGGATACAAGTAGAATTTTGGAAGGCAAAACCAACTATATTTATAGGTGAACCAAACCATGAAAACTAAGGATGGTTGAGGCAAATGAAGAGAAAAATGAACTACCAAAAGGTTCATACTAAAGTGAATATTTGATATGATTAATTCAACTACCATAAAAACATTTGAATTGCATAATTAATAATACGTAGTCTAAAGTCGGATTGACCAATTCTTGAATATGAAAAAATTAAGAAAATGGCTGCCAACTGTAGTGCCAGTTTTTGTGTAATAACATAAGTTGCAATCTTTGTTTATTTTAAATGCATTGATGACCACAAGATCTGATTGATGTATTTATAATTAGTATAGATATTGTAAACATATATCCATTAATTAATTAAATCATTTTTGTCAACCAAAAGAGGGTGAAGACTACTTAGTCCTTTATCACACAAAAAAAAAAAAAAAAAATTGATGGGCAATAATGTAATTTCACAAGTCCAAATTTTACTGTTTTTTATTGAAGACTCACCTACATGTGATGTTAAAATACCTCTAATATATATATATAAAAGAAAAGAAAAAAAAAACCTCTTACTCCTCCCACGTTCTCTTTCTCTTCCTCTCTCCTTCTCATTTTTTATAAAAAATGTGTTCATACATATAGAGTGTGTAGGCAAATGTTAATATATATTAATAATGTAATATTTTATTTATTTAAAACAAAATCACCCACATTTTTTAACTTCAAAAAGTTAAAAAAAAAAACGTTAAAAAGGGCATGATCCAGAGTGAGATGGAGGCCCAACTCCACATTGTTAGCTGCAACTCTGTAACTTAAAAAAGTGAAGAAGCTTTCCGTCTCTTGATCTTGTCTCTGTCTGGGTTTCCTCGCCTCTGCATCTACATTATTCAAAAATTTGGAAAAATAAATAAAATTCAGATCTATGTAGAATAATAGCCATCATTTTAAATTTATTGTAATTATAACCAAAATTTGATGTGAAGGTACTAATACATCCTTAATGCAATCATGCCCTTTCTACAATTTGACGTTAAAAATATAATGTGCCTCCGGAAGCTTTTGCAACGCTATTACCGCACGATGCTCCCATACCCATCATGTACAAAACACCTCCAGTGGCACCTCTCAATTTTGTTAGAAACCATGTCCATAATAACATCATTCTCTGAGTCACCCATGCCATATTAAAATTTACAATGAAGAGAGAGAGAGAGAGAGAGAGAGAGAGAGAGAGATGAGGGGCTTATGGGGAGGGAGGGGTTAGGTGTTAATATATAGGCAGGTACAGGGGAGAATGATAGGAATGCAGGAATAAATGGAGACAATGGGATCAGTGCATAATTCATATTTGTCTGTAGTGATTACAAAACCTGTTGCAGCTGGGGCAGGAGGAAGAACGGAAGGATATGAAACCATATCCTGAATCTATGTTCTGTAACAAAGTCGCCCTAGAAAAGTAAACTTTTGAATGATGTTGACGAATTTGGGTTTGGTTTGATTTTCTAGGGTTCTGTTTGATTTGTTTCGAATTTGTGCTGTCAGTCTAATCTGCAGTGCAATTCAATTCAACCATAAATTGGCAGAGGAATTTAAGGTTCAAGTTCCATTGGGATCAGTATGTGAGAGAGGGCGGGATGTCGACAATGATGATCAAGTTTATTTTCATTTTCTGAAGGCTTTTAGTAATTAAGGGTATATTAGTACTTCTATATAGTTTTGACTATAATTATGATAAACTTAAAAGGATGATTATAATTATATATTGAATCTAGATTTTAGTTATTTTTTCAAATTTCCCAATAATTTGTGACTTAATCAGATTTTGACATGTGTCCACAACTAACTTAATTCTAACCGCCGTTTTAACTCTAAAAAATACAAAATACAAAATGAAAAAAAAAAACCAACGAAGAATCACACAGAACTCTCTCTCTCTCTCCCTCCCTCTCCCCTGATGTCGTTGAGGTGCCTCCTCCTCACAGCCTCTTTCATCCACCCACCGCCGCAATTTCCAATATTTAAGGCGCCAAGCCGCTATTTCAGCATCCGGCTCGACCAATCAAGCCGGTCGAACCGCTGAGCCGCCTCCGCCTTCATGTGGTGGACGTTAGCCAAGATGTGGGCCTGCAGCTTGCAACTGGCCTTGAAGAAATCTGGACACCGTCTTCTCAAACGACTCCATATTTTCCGTGAATTGTATGGTCTCGTCCAAGTTCCAGCGCGGCGTCGCGAGGACTTTTCGGGCCAGCTGAAGGCTGTTCTGTAGAACTTCGGAGAAGGCGATTTATTGGATTATGGGGCGGAGTTCCTCGATTGAGGAGATGAGTTGTAGGCGGTTCCTCTTCTGTGGCATTTATTTTGTGTTGCATGTTTACTCTGATAGGTAAAGCCGGCTAGAGTTGAAGTTCGTTGTGGACACGTGTCAAGATCTGATTAAGTCACAGAGAGGCCTTAGGTAAAATTGGGTGTAGAAGATTTTGAAGTCATAATAATAACAAGGATAGCATCGAGTGAGTGAGTCCACCTACTCCTCCGCTCTCTGGCAAATAATTTCCTCCTACTCCTTTGACTATGGAGAAGAAGAGTTTCTTGGAGAGAGAAGGGAGAGTGCAGCTTCTGGTTTTGCTCTTTTGCTTCCAAATTTCCAATGCTTATGATTTAGGCAGCAGCACAGGTCCATTCTGAGTTTCCCATTTCACGGCGAAGCTTGGAAGGAGCTTCATTTCGTTCACTCTCCCTTTTCGGTTTGTTTCTTCTTCGTCTTCTTCTTAAGACCGCATTTAGTCATAAGATAGTTTATATAAGCCTTTTCTTTGCTCTCTCTCTCTCTCTCTCTCTCTCTTTTCCCTTCTTTTTCCACTTAGTTCTAATTGTTTATGTGCAAATGGGTTGTATGTATTAATGAGTGGTGGGATTTGGGAAAAATGCGCCATATTTAGGGTTTAGCTGTGGTGTTGTTTACAGCAGAAGTTGTAATTCGTTGTCCATGTGGTCAAAAATTTGACAGAGGGAAAGAGACAGAAGGAAAGAGGCAGAGGGGTAGCCTTCAAAGCCCTCATTGCCTGCTATCCCACATTCAACATCGAAGAAGTAGACTGTTGGATGGGTGTGGATTTTCGCGTGAGAATCGTGGATTGTTGTGGTTATTCATTGTTGCCATAGTCAACAAATACGATCTGCTTTTTAAACTGAACAGAGCGAAATTGGAATTTCCTTTTTGGTAGATTTGTGGCATTTAACCTAGTTCATGGTTTTGAATTATAATTCGTTTCGAGTAAAGCTGACATCTTTGCTGCTCTAGTTTTTACTTGCCATATGTATCCCACCATCCAACTCTGGTTTTTGTTTGTAGAAAGAGTGGGTCAAAGTGGATATCCAACTCTGTTATATATCCCAGCATCCAACTCTGGTCTTGCTAAGTTGTATGATATATTGGTTTTACCTTTTTCGCCAAGCTTTGTATTTTCTCTGTTTCCCCAATCCTTCAAGCAACAAAAATATTACATAGTTTTCCAATATCATTAAAACGCGTCTCACACTATTTTATGTGCTATTATGCCAAGGTACACATGATAGTGGATTCGTGACGAAGAGTCAAAGACATTTCACAGATGTGTGTATCTCATAGAAATTTCATTACCTATTTTGCAGGAAAACATAAATTCTACATCGGAGAAAGAGAAGATACAGGCCTTGGTCAATATGGGGTACACAATGGAGGAGGCCTCAATAGCAATTGAAAGATGTGGTATAACTTTTGTTTTATATATATATATGCATAATGTTGATTTTAGGTTGCTTTTAGCATTTTCCCGTCCACATCTCCAGTTAATTACCTTTGCTTTGGTTCTTTTTGCATGATTATGTTGAAATCCTGGAAAATGCTATATATTTAGTTTTGGTATAACTTTAGATTCCAGAAAAAGAGATAAAAGTACACTCATTTAATGTCTAACATCTCACCTTCAATGTTGAAAAATTTATTGCTTCCTTTGTGGGTAGCTGGGGTCACAGTCATGTGCCCACAAATGCATGTTCACATCTCCAGTTAGTTACTTTTGCTTTGATTTGGATGATTAAGTTGATAACCTGTAAAATGCTGTTTATTTACTTTTGGTATAATTTTAGCACCGAACCAAATGCATATTCAGGAGGGTTTCTGGGATAATTTTGATTAGAATGTCTTTCATATATGATTGGGGGCCAAAGAAACATCATTCCTAGGTAAATGAAATTTTTATGAGACACACACATGTTAAATGTCTTTGACTCTGTCATTAATCCACTATCACGTGTACATTGGCACATTAGCACATAAAATAGTGTGAGACGCGTTTTAATGATATTGGAAAACTGTGTAATATTTTTTTTTTATATTTGAAACACTGAAAATACAAAGCTTGGCCAAAAAAGGGAAAAACCAATATAACATACAACTTATTAGCAAGGCCAATAAACTACCTCGGTATCAGAACAGCTACCCAAGTCCGAAAATACAAAGTTTGATGAGTACAATTCAACCCTCTTTGCTCAAAATAGGGCTAACTTAAATATCCTTTACTATAAAATGCCAATTGTCATGGCATTTGTGTTTGTTTTCGGTTAAATTTTATAATAGACATAAAACATGTTTCTTTCTATATGTCAAGAGTGCCAAATCTGTCTTTCGCTTTGGATATGGGGTTCTTGGTGTGTCGAGAGGTTCTTGGGTTGGGTTTAAGGTGAACTCCATTTTCCTTTGCCACTATATCTGAGGTGTTTGCTTTTATTTGTCTAATATTAGACATAGTATATTTTGTTTTAGAAGTTAGAACTTATTGCTAGCAGTTTAATCTGAGAATCAAGTTCATATTCATCTTAAAAACATATTACATTGTTTAACTTTCAGGTTATATTAGATTTCACTTTGTTGTTAAAGAAAGAAAATCTTCAGTTCAATCATGGAGCAAGAAAAGTGATTATGTTAGATGTCTATACAATGACACAAGGAAACTTATTGATTCCATATGTAATATGCATAAACCAATCAAATTGTGAAACTACGTCGAGTCTTTTTAGTATGTAGGTTTATGTAAATTCCCATGTTCTGTTATTTTTCCCATTTGTTGTTATTAGCAATTTCTTTATCATGTTAGTTTGATAGTGTTTGGCTACCCAGAAAATTTTGGAATTTAAAATATCATGGGATTGGGGTTTTAAGAAACACCCAAGTTCTGTAATTTAGCCTTGTTGTTCTTATTAGGATTTTCTTTGTTCATTTTGGTTGGAGCTTCATATAGTGTTTGGCTGCTACGAAATTTGGAATACAAAATATAGTGGTTTTAAGAAAACACAAGTTTTGTAGTTTTACCCTGCTGAGTTTATGGTCTTCAAATTAAACAATGCTTAATCCAATTCGAGTTGTTCACCCTAGTGCGAAGATTTTATATCATTTCATAGAAAGATGCCCTTGACAACTGATGTATTGGGTTCTATTTCTTTTGTATGTAAATAGGTCTATCTACCAAATCTTTCGTATGTAAATAGTATGTCTGTACACATCAAGTATTATCTTTAGTAAATAAATAGTACTATATACTAAGTTTTCTTATGGTTTTCAATCCCGCAGCATCTCGCGGGCATCCCTTGCTAGTTTGCTCTTATTCCTCTGAATTTCTCACTCTCACAGATGTCTATGAAGAAGAAGAGTTCTTGGAGAGAGAGAGAATGGAGAGTGCAGCTTCTGGTTTCGCTCTTTTGCTTCCAAATTTCCAATGCTTATGATTTAGACAGCAGCACAGATCCATTCTGAATTTCCCATTTCACGACGAAGCTTGGAAGGAGCTGGAGTTGGAGCTTCATTTCATTCACTCTCCCTTTTTGGTTTGTTTCTTCTTCTTCTTCTTCTCACTTAGTGCTGCCTGCTAAGTGCTTGGAGTTGGCATTACCAAGGAAAAGTATTACATTATTCTCTTGCTTTTTTATTTCGCATGTGACTGTCACTGATTGACTGTTGAGTACAAATTTTGTGTTTTGTTGTATTTTGAACATACATTGATGACTTGATGTGTTTTGGATTTGTGACAAACAAACAATGGCATTGGCATTGGCTTCATTCTTTGATTATATATCATGGCCATGGGTACCCTTTGTGGTTGTGGAATCATTCATTCATTCATTTTCAATATTTACTTTACTCTCATTTCATTCATTCCTAGAAAATTAACTAGCAGGATGGGTTCTTTGTTTTGAAACATCTTCCTTTGTTTCCTGCTAACTCAATTACATTATCACTCTTTCTTTCCCTCAAGTTTGGCTGCTGGATGCTGGCTGCTCAAGGAGTAATGCAGACAATCTGTTTGAGTTCGATGCTATTGTTGTTGGTACTAGCAGTAACTTCATCGGGAGGAGGAGGACAGTCAGATTTGGGAGCACTCTTAGACCTCCGGAAAGGCATTCACAAGGACCCTTCGGGGAAACTTCTTGTTTCGTGGGATTCTAACTCCTTGGACTCTGATGGATGCCCCTTGAATTGGTTTGGGGTAACATGTAGTAATGGTCGCGTCATCTCAATTGCTATCAATGATGTTGGTTTGGTCGGTGACTTCAGTTTTTCAGCCATTACTGGCCTTACAATGCTTCAAAACTTGTCGCTTTCAAACAACCAGCTCACAGGGACCATCTCAAAGGTTGCTTTATTTCAGTCTCTTGAATACTTGGATCTCTCAAGCAATTTGTTTCATGGGCTATTACCCTCCGATTTGGTCAACTTAAAGGGTCTAGTGCTTTTGAATCTTTCTTCGAACCAATTTGAAGGCATTTTGCCCTCTAGTTTTGGCAAACTTGAACAGTTGAAGTTTATTGATTTTCGAGCTAATGGCTTTTCTGGAGACATTATGAATTTTCTATCCAAAATGGGTAGCGTGGTCCATCTTGATGTAAGCAGCAATCTGTTATCTGGTTCATTAGATTTGGGACTTGGTAACTCCTCTTTTGTTTCTTCTATTCAGTACTTGAACGTTAGCCACAATTACTTGGTTGGAGAGCTTTTTCCTCACGATGGAATGCCATATTTTGATAGTTTGGAGGTGTTTGATGCTAGTTATAATCAGTTAGTGGGTCCTATACCTTCCTTCAATTTTGTTGTCTCTCTACGAGTACTTCGGCTTGGAAACAACCAGCTATCAGGTTCTCTACCGGAAGCTCTATTGCAAGAGAGCTCAATGCTCTTGTCAGAACTGGATCTTAGTCATAACAAACTTGAAGGTATACTGCGTTTTCAACAGTTTTTTACACATGTTAGCTGTTGCTAAGAGATTTTACATACATATTTGTCCTTTTGTATTTCAAATTGAAAGTTTCGTTAGACTTTCTTTTTTCGTACTTGTAGATTGAAAATAAACAAGTAAAATCACTTACGATGCAATGAAAGAAAGGCTTTGATTTAGTTATTTATTCTTCCACTATAAGCTTGAGTAAACTTTCTCACACTTATTAGAAAGTCCATTGCTTTAGGAAATTAATCTTTAATGTCTTGTCACTAAGAGAAATCAGACGGCTATGTTGTCATGGTTGCATTAGCATCTTCGCATGAAACTATGTTGATGTAGATGGAATCATGGGTGGAGAAGCATATTAATTTTAGAAAGCAACTTTAGGGTAAAGGCTCGATTATTTCAGTACGAGGAAATCTTCTTTTGCGTGATTTCATGTTTATTGGTTGAAGTAGCCAGTTTTTAAAAGTGATTATATCATCTTGAATTTTTAATTACATTTGTTTACTGTTTTTCCCTCCCTTTCCTTCATACATGATCACACTGATTACCTTCATGGCAGGTCCGGTAGGAAGCATCACCTCTGCAACTCTGAAGAAGTTTAATATTTCTTCAAACAAACTGTCAGGCTCCTTACCTGCCATGGTTGGGCATTGTTCTGTCATAGATCTGAGTAATAATATGCTCACAGGTAACTTGTCCCGAATCCGAGGTTGGGGAAATTACATTGAAGTTATCGAGCTAAGTTCCAATTCATTGACAGGAAGTCTGCCTAATGAAACGTCTCAATTTTTTAGGCTAACTTCATTTAAGATATCCAAGAACTCATTAGAAGGCATTCTTCCGACAGTATTGGGAACATACCCAGAATTAAATGTGATTGATCTTAGCCTCAACCACCTACAAGGCTTACTTCTTCCAAGCCTCTTCTCTTCAACAAAATTGACTGATCTTAACTTATCGGGCAACAATCTGTCTGGGTCAATACCCATCCAGGACATATCAAGTGATTCTTCAAGTGGTTCGGCTCAAAATTTGAGCCTGGTGTCTATAGATCTGTCAAACAACTCATTGGCTGGTCATTTGCCCCCAGAGATCAGTAAGTTCTGTAACTTAATGTATCTCGATCTATCTATTAACAACTTTGAAGGTAGCATTCCTGAGGACCTTCCAGATGTCCTGAAAGAGTTCAATGTTTCTTTCAATCATCTTTCTGGCGTCATACCTGAAAACTTGCGGCAGTTCCCTGATTCCGCATTTTATCCAGGGAACTCATTGCTGATTTTTCCTCGTTCTGCATCTTCACCGAAGGATGTCCCAAACATGACTTTTAGGGAACACAGGCCCCTTATGAAAGCAGCTATTAGGATCTCCCTCATTGCAGGTTTGGTTGGTGGAGCTGCTGTTTTAGTTCTTTTATGCCTTATGATCCATTACAGGTCCCACTGGCAGAGATGTAGAAGGGGCAGTTCAAAAGCAAGTTCTGGAAAGAAAGATGCTGTGCAAGGAGGTTCTGCCCTTTCTCATCGTCATCGATCAGCACCAGACAAAAACGTAGACTGCTCAAAATCTTCTTGTGATCTCCTTCCAAAGCTTTCACCATCAACCCAAATGGGGTCTGCTCATGATGCCCGTGACACTTTGTCAGTTGTAAAGAATCCTAAGAATTTGGGTCATCCTGAATCACAAGAAAGGGGTGAAGGGACATCTTCTCCTATGTCTCTCTTATCATCGTCGAATCCATCACCCTCTAAAAAGCAACAGCCACCAGAGAGTCCTGCTGTGCTCACGGCTTATTCTCCAGATAAATTGGCTGGATATTTGCATCTGTTTGATGGCTCCTTGGCCTTCACAGCAGAAGAACTTTCCTGTGCTCCAGCAGAAGCTATTGGAAGGAGTTGTCATGGGACAATGTACAAAGCAATGCTCGACTCCGGTCATGTATTGGCTGTCAAATGGCTACGGGAGGGAATAGCAAAAGGAAGGAAAGAATTTGCAAGAGAAGTGAAGAAACTAGGAAACATCAGGCACCCGAATCTTGTTTCTCTGCTGGGTTATTACTGGGGCCCTAAAGAACATGAGAAACTGATTATATCAACTTATATCAATGCACAATCGTTGGCATTCCATCTCCATGGTAAGATTCCGCTCTTTGTGCTTTATTGTACGATTGCAAATAAGCATCTCAAATATACTTGTACCATCTGTTAGAAAATATTAAATATGCGCCACTGGGTCTATCCATACGTACTAAAACACTGAAAATTGTCCATAGAGAGAAGATTAGATCTTAGCCTACCTAGATTTTATTTGGCTGACATTGGTGACTTTTACACTTTGATATTTTACTTAGGTTTATAAACTGTTAGATTAGAGTTCCCTTGAACGAAAGCAAAACTGTAGTGCACACTGAAAATTGTCAAGAGAGAAGAGTGTATCTTAGCGTACTTAGATTTTATTTGGCTGACATTGGTGACTTTTACGCTTTGATATTTTACTTTGGTTTATAAACTGTTAGGTTAGTTCCCTTCAATGAAAGCAAAACTGGAGTGCCACTGATGTTCGTTTATTATTTTGTCCGTTTTCGAATTTGTTTCTCTTTTTATCCCTGAATCTGACATTGGTTGCTGAATCTTTCTGACTCTACAGAGGCAGAGCGAACAAAACTCTCTCCTCTGTCACTTGAGGAACGGCTTAGGATTTCTGTAGATGTTGCCCGATGTCTGAACTTCCTGCATAATGAGAAGGCAATTCCCCATGGCAACCTCAAATCCACGAATATTTTATTAGAAACTCCTAGTCTGAATGCACTCCTTACAGATTATAGTCTCCACCGAATTTTGACTCCCGCTGGGACTACTGAGCAAGTCTTGAATGCAGGTGCTCTTGGCTATCGCCCCCCTGAATTTGCTAGCTCAAGTAAGCCCTGCCCATCGTTGAAAAGTGATGTCTATGCATTTGGGGTGATCTTGTTGGAGCTCCTGACTGGAAAGAGTTCTGGGGAGATTGTCTCTGGGATACCGGGTGTGGTTGATCTGACAGACTGGGTGAGACTGTTGGCAGAAGAAAACCGTTGTTTTGAATGCCTTGACAGACTGATTCTGGAAAGGCTGAGCGTAAAGAACTCCCCAACAGTTCTTGATGGTATGCTACAGGTAGCTCTAAGATGTATTCATCCAGCATCCGAAAGACCCGACATTAAAACTGTGTTCGAAGACATTTCAAGAATAGTGAACTAATGGGGCGCTCCGGCTGGATAAATGCTCTTAACTGTAGAGTTCTTGATACTAACACCGTATGTCGATTATTTCTTTCTTTATTTTCTAATTGTTTTTGTCAAAATGGTCCTGTAATTGACAATGCCTAGTTACAGTTTATAGAGAAATAAGTTCCTTATTGATGTGTTATGAATAAATTTCACAAAACCTACTCTTGGGTGTAACCGATGATTTATTCCCCGCTCTCTCTCACATTGATTCCAATATGTTTCAAGTACATTATATCCATATTCAGTATTGCCATAAATTTGGGGTGCGTAAGTAAAAAATTTCAAAGATCGATTCCAGTACGAGAATCATATCCCAGAGTAGGACGGAAATATGTAGTTCATATGAACATTTTGTTGAACTACCAGATGCTACAACACCACGTGACATGCCGACATTTAAATAATCATGACAAGCAATCCGAATACCGGTTACATGTCTTATGTTTTCAATGCCACGAAATCAGCAGGTCCCCGATCAAATTTCTGATATGTAATTCATATGGTAAGCTAAACCTGTTTGATTTAGTCGAAAATCATAGTTTGTTCTCGCACTCTTTAATACCAGGCACAGCACATTTGAAATGAATCACCTATATCCAGAATATATCACACAAGCGACTCAGAAGAACAATACATAAAAATAAAAACACAATTCCGCATCATATTTGTTTCAGTTTATAGCAGGGAGAACAACGAAACTCATCTGAAATCAACCACCTTTTTAACAGGTTTTGTGTGTTGGATAGTAGCAGTATACCTTAACATCCAAGGGCATGCCGTGAAATTGACCTGCGCCTTCTGGTGGTGTTCGGTTGCAGACAGCACACGGTAAAAACAACACCGAAGCACCACCAATATCCTCTATGAAAGCTTGGGCTGGGGTAAACTTCTTTGCATCAAACCATGGGTGTGATGTCACTACCCAGGCAATGTTTGCAGTATGTGAAATGTAAAAAATGGCCGCAAATAAACATTTCATCTCTGTTTTCTGGTAAACAATAACCGCAAAACAGATGACGTAACTATTAGTATTAAACAACATGCTTAACTCTGAGTACGCAGATAACGTGATAACGCACCTTAAAATTCCACCAGCAGTGCCCCTCACTGCTATAAATCCTGAATTTAGAGGTTGTGCTTTGTAGTTATGGAATGTCAGCGCCAGATGAAAATTTGGATATTCGCGAAATATGTGTCCTAGATCATCAACAACTGCTATATCTGCGTCGGTGAAGATGTAAACCTCAAGCAATTTCAGGAATTGACGATTTCAAACAAAACAATGAAGTAAACTAGGTAATGCCGGTGAGAAACATAGCTACTGATGAGCAAAGGATTTGTCTGCTCGTTATTTATATAATGTGTTCATACGATGTAAGACCTGATTCTTTGAAGCATCAACTTGTCTTGCGAATAATCGCCTTGAATTGGATACACAGTAACCTTGTTTCTGGGTAGTGAAAGATCAGATGCCTGGTCGGTTAGAATGACTACATTGCTCCGGGGCATATTGCCAGCTGCAATGTATCAATAATATCACAAACCAAAGTGAGGAAGCTAAACGGAATTCTACACTACAACACCTGAATGAAGTTAAAAAAGACAGTCAAGATGGCCATGGATCTCTCGACTTTAGTAGACGAAGCATTCCCAACTGTAACCGAGTTTGAGAATTGATCTTCGATGAGCCCATTGGCGGTGGAAGATTTGCATAGTGTGAAGACAGTGACAAGGGCAATGCTATCAACTGCGGTGGAGACCCGAGAAGAATGGGTGCGGTTGAGAGCCTTGATGCTATTGCCTTTGCCTGCCTATACCAAAAACAAAACATGAATCATAGACGAAACAAATCCTAACCTGGTAGTTAGGGCGTTCCTCGTCAACCTACTAGGTATCGGGTTCAAACCTTCCCCTCCCCGCCATCTGATTTAATTTGATTTGATTGAAATTAAATTACTACCACTGCATTGGAGGCGATTGCCTAAGCCTTGGCCCTTGACCAGCAGGACCAAGAAGTAAGCGGTTGGATTTGGTGCTTTCTTTCTTCCCAGGCAAATCTTCGTTGTAATGCGATTCCTTAACTAAGAGATGTAAATTACGAATTGTAACAAATAAAAAATTTTTGTAGGCCTAATTTACATTTACTGAACAATATTAAGAACAGGGAGAGAGGTGGCCTGCAGCTTATGTGGTATAAACTAACACACAAATTACACCCTATAAATTATGCAATTGTAGTACCAGTAAGTAGGAATCATTCTATTCCGGGGATTAGAAGGGATGCTAATCAACACAAATTAAACTTATAAAACTGAAAATTAAGTTAAACTAACAACAAAACAATGACTGGGGGGATTTTGGACGAAGTTAACTAAAACAAAATTAAAGGGCAACAAGTAAATTAAGTTGTGAATGAAATATAGATGAAAGGATAGCTAAAGGATTCTTCTCCACACATGAATCATATGCATACAAATCGATTTCCAGTTATTCTTCCTATAAACCATGAATGACAATGCCCCAAATTAATTGTGAACAACACTAATTAACTTTAGATTTTCCTAAGTTCATTGAATTGGATTCAGCGACGCAACTAAATTATTATTCTCAAGTTCCCTAACTATGGAAAGCATGATAGAGATACATCTCAAAGATCATTATGTTCTGTGAAAATCGTAAGCATTGACATAGCATTTGTAACCATGGAAAGCATCATACTCCTGCCAAGAATTTACTTAGGTCAATCATGACTAGTGACTTTTACTACTTACAAATATAAGTTCATAACAATTAGGTAAAATTCTCTTATATTCTTGTAGACATCGAAATTTCAGTAAAACAAATGTTCACCAATGCATTAAAGTTTTGACGTGTCAAGGCATACATGGCATACGCCACGTGTTGTACAAATTGTACACATGGCGTGTGACTCAACAAAATAGGAAGAAATACCCTTGAAGGACAAAACAAGTTTTTCTTCTCATGTTGGGCAATGACAAGGCAATCACACTTCAATCCATTACGGATCAAAGCAAGTTTTTCTCATTTGGGCAATGACAAAGCATACACATTTCAAGTTTAAAATGGTGTTAAGTGGGAAATTAGGCCATAAGTTAGACCACTTCAAGTTTAAAATGGTATTAAGTGGGAAATTAGGCCATAAGTTACACCACTTCAATTTCAATATTGCATTAAGTGGGAAAATTAGGCAATGGTGCTTGGAAAGGAAAAAAATATTTTGTGGTGGTGATTCATTCTCAAAGCCTATAAATAGGCTTCTCCATCAAGGTATCAAGCATCAAGGAATTCACAAATACATTTCTTTACTCCAAAATTAGAAGAGAATTCCCCAAATCCTTGAAGCTTTGAAACTCCAAAGCTTCCAACCATCCAAATTCCCAAGAATTCCGAAGGATCAAGAAAGCTCTCTTCGTTCTTCGTTAAATCCTCTTTCAAGATCAAGCCCCGACGGCCCTTGAAGAAAGTGTTCATCCGTTCATCCTAAGCATAAGCCCCCAACGGCCCTTTGGATCAACAACCTCAACAAATCCACACATCCAATCGTTCTTCAAGATTAAGCCCAAAAGCCCTTGAAGATCCGCTCATCCATCAACCTTCAAGATCAAGCCCAAAAGCCCTTGAAGAAATCCACACAACCATTATTCAAGATCAAGCCCCGACGGCCCTTGAAGAAAGTGTTCATCGTTCATCCTAAGATCAAGCCCCAACGGCCCCTTGGATCAACAGCACAAACAAATCCACACATCCAATCGTTCTTCAAGACTAAGCCCAAAAGCCCTTGAAGATCTGCTCATCCATCAACCTTCAAGATCAAGCCCAAAAGCCCTTTGAAGAAATCCATACACCCATTCTTCAAGATCAAGCCCAACGCCCCTTGAAGATCCGTTCATCAACTGTTCATCCTTAGATCAAGCCCCGACGGCCCTTTGGATCAACAACTCATCCACAAACCTACACCCTACGAAGATAGAATCAGAGGACCAAATTTGAGAGAGATCGTAACCCCAAAATCATAAACACAAAAATATTATTTTGTACACGTTATTCTTGTTTCTTGTTTCAAGGAAACTTTCGTGTTCACAAATTTGGCACGCCCGGTGGGACATCTCTACCTCTCATCTCTATCCTCAAATCATCGAAAAACGCAAATGGCATCAAGAAAGGATCAAGCTGTTCCTGCAATCAAAGCAAAGAATAAGAACATCATCGCCGCAAGTGGTGATATTTCGGGCATCATAATCCGAAGTAAGGCAAGAGCTCTTTTTGCCGCGGCTTCCGCCCCTGCATTAACTCTGTCAAAGGAACAAGAGCACCTGAGGCACGAGCCTGTGATCACCCTAGCCTTGCTAAGTGCATCAAGAGGGGAAAACCTGAGGAAATACTCAGAGTCCCTACTCTCCGACGCTGATTCGAGCGGCAGTACAACCATGCAAGTCATGACCACTGGAGTAACTTCAATCGAGGAGCAGCTAGCTCAGATGAATGAAGCAATCGCAAAGCTCACACGGACTGCAGAGGAGAAAAACTTGCAAACCGCCGGACTCATCAACCGTCTGGAGGCACAACATGGCCTCAAAATGAAACCAAGCTCTCTTCCAACTAAGAAGACCGAAGAAGGCTTTAACCCAAATGCCTACGAACTCATGTCAAAGGCTAGGCATGACTTTGCTTCCTCTTCAAATCTTGGAAAGAAGGTTTCAAACACCGTCAATGACAAAGATCGTGACCTCACCGAGACTCAAAAGAAGTTGAAGGAGCATGATTACGGAGTTGACAACAACAAAGCTGGACTTGGCTTCACACCAAATACACCCGTGAAGATTTCAAGCAAAGTGAAGAAAGCTAGCGCTCAACACATCAGCGTGAGCATTGAACAAGACCAAAAAGAGCCTAAACCCGCCCCTCGGACGTCGGTCTTCGATAGGATGAGCCATTCAAGCTCCAGAATTTCAGTGCTTAATCGCATTGGTAGTCAAGGCCGAACCTCTGTCTTCAAGAGGCTTAACGCGCCAACATCCCAAAGCTCTGTTTTTGAAAGGTTGTTAAAGCCTAAGAAACAAAGCAACACAGCTATCTCTCCTCTGCGACGATCAGCTTCGGAAAGATTTGAAGATAATGAGAAGCCTTTTGGAAAGAGGAAGACAACACCAAAGGAAGAAAAGTTCGATAGGTTAGCAGAAAAAGGCGACGTTCGAAGCTTGATTCCTTCAAGGATGA